ACAACGGTATACCATAATACGTCCCGTAAACGGGCGTATAAAAATGTTAAGAAATTTTAGATTGCGCATGCAGGCTACAGTAGTGGAGTGACGTCAGGTATAAATTCGAAAACCCCAAGGGTGAATGGATTATAGTTACGACCGGAGGTATAAATCCTTATTGTGCGGGATGTATAAATACACAGCCACGTCTTGTCGGAATGTTGACGCTTAGTCCAATGCCTCGTATAGAAAATGTGCTCCTGTACGCTCTCTATACGTTAAAAAAAACCCTCATAACTCTTTAAGGGGTCCGTATTGGTGGCATGTTGCAAGGCAACATTTCTATCCCAATCCAAACATATCCAGTGAAAGTCCAAATTTCACGCTCATGCAGAAACTACCTATTGTATTGATTATGGTTTCTCGTCCTGAATATGTATGAAATAATTGCCACTGGACGGTAAGCAAGCACAAATCAATCAACCAATCATGCAATCATACAATATACAATTCAGTTAGGTAGAAATGCACCAACCCAACACACTGCTATATCATAAACCATTCACTGTACTATCTGTTTTGTCTGGACTTCAATTTTTCGTCAAGTGCAAATTCCGTCAAATCAGTGAAAGGTCAAGGACTAACAATTTCTTAATTAGCATATTATGGTTGAGTACGGGTCCCAGATTTTGGCTTTGAACCTTCATATGATATGTGGAAACATCAGACAGTTATAGAGCAAAGTTTAAACGTACGCTAAAAATATTTATGACAAATTTTTCAAAAACAATTGCACTTTTCAGGAAATCAAGTAAAAGTGGTAGACATTTATTGAAAGAAAAGATATTTTTTGCAGATCAATTGTTCATCGCCTCAAACAATATAAAATTCTTTGTTGAATGATGATAAAGTTTTTGAAATCTTTTAGAAAGTACTCATGACTATGTTTAATAAAACACTTGTTCGATGTTGAAATACTTGTATGCAGTCATTCATCTTCTCTATAGCCAAGGGTTACAATCCAGTCCCCTCCTCCCCAAGAGAAGAGGGGTCTGGGTCGTAACCCTTGGCTAGCGAAGATGACAGTCATCATGGTCATTATCAGGTTGAAAAATGCTACACAAATACTACTGTCTTTAACACGACAAAGAGGTAAATGGAGTACATTTGTAATACGAGAGATCAAGATTCGTATTTTTCGTTTGCATTGTAAAAACGTGTAAAGGGAGGAAGGAGATACATGTATCTTTTGAACAAGAGTTTTAAATTTCTTCTTTATAAACAGGACGTTTTACTCTTTACTTGTTGAATTAATGATTCTGATAATAATCTTTTTAACAGGAAGTTTTTCGCTCTTTGTTTACTGTTTGTCTTTTATATGTTACATAAGAGACTGGCCTACAACCGTTCTCGTTGAAAAATAGATTATAAGGCCTGTTTCTTTGTCGTAAAATGTATCTCCCAAAAGTTAAATTCGGTAACGTTAATCTGTATGAATGATATATATATATATATATGTTTCAGTAAAATGAATCAAATCATCTCCGAGATGTAAAGAATTTCTGATTATAAAGAACCGCATGTCGGAGGTTGGGAATGGGATAACCCACATGAGGATCAACGGCATTACTTATTTTTTATACAATAACGTTTACGTTGCCAAAAAATGATAATTACAACAAGTTAACAACAGGATGTGATGAATGACGATACCATTCAATACTCATTTGACGAGAACGGAAGCGAAAAAAGGGGGGTGTTGAGTTTGTCGATTTACGATATAATATTTACCATTCATGCCCTAATGGCGTATGGAACTAAACAGGTGTTATACGTTTACATTGCTTCACAGTATATAATGTTTGCCTTTATCATAAAACACGTTCGAAAAAACATATTTGTTCTCTTACTTTCATTACTTCGTGGAAAAATAAAAAAAATAAGTTCTTATCGATAATGACAAATAACGATGTATTATCTAAAAGATAATTGTGATATTTTGCCACATATTGCCTAGTTAAGCTTCAGAAAAGACATGATAGATTGTTTAACAGACTTCTTGTATGTACATTGAATTGTACAATTTAAATTGTTAAAACTTTCCTGGGCGTTAGAAAGAAAAAAATATAGTATTATGGGAAATGAAAATAGACATTCATCATTTTTACCACCAGGCCAAACAAAAAGTGCAGAAAATAAGCTTCCCGTTGGTATAGGATGTAGCCGTGTATTATGCTAATAATATTGTGTTTATGTCACCTGCAATACCAATCCGGTTGATTCAAGTGTTTTTCTTATTGGATTCTTATTATACATATTCGTTTGTCTTTGTACCATTACTGTCCATTAGTGATTCCAACGATCGAGATAAAAAGGCTGGGGTTAAATACTAAAACAAAGGTTTTGTCCCTCGTCTTGTTAATATGAAGGTAAACGTCAGAAACCATGACATGATGGTTGGTGTTGGGATTTTTTTCGGGGGAGGGGCAGTGCTTTTGTGTCAACAGGACCTTTTGTAGTCCCTGTTCATTTACATCCTTTCTAGACTAAGTGCGATTCAGTATCTGACGCTCGTCTATTAAAAAAGGATTATAACCTCAAAATAATTTGATGTTTTGCTTAATAACCGTTGGGTTGTTATAGTATTGACCAACGACATGTATGTCTGTGAATTTACATATATTCAAAATCTTCAATTCCTAAGTTAAAGAATCCGAAAGAGCCTTCTTAACATCTGTTTCTGAATTGATATACGTAGGATCATTGTATTCTTACCAAACTAATTGATTGATTTTCGTTTTACGCCATATCGGCGCAAAAGTCTTACAATACTTCATTATTCTTTTGAATCTTTAACGTTTTTTAATACCTCTGTTTAAAACTTATGTAAATCTTAAATCATTTCAGCCATTCAGTTTATATAACACACGTGTGCAGAGCTGTTGTAAATAAATATAAGAATAAAAAACACTGACAGTGCTGTTTGTCACATTGCTATGACCAAATAAAGGAAGTGTTAGTATGTTTTTTGTTTATATTACTAAAGGTCAAAATTTTCGTGTTTAAACTTTTTTAAATATAGTGAACGTTTTTCACACTAGCTGCACTATTTCAGTTTCTTTTGTCAGTTTTCCATTTTCGTATAAACAAACAAACAAAGTCAAAACAATGACAATGATGTCATTTTCAAGGCAATCAACCTGACAGATGAATATTGTAAACAAATATTTGGTGTGTAGACATGGATAATTATTTGAAGTTAATTACATAATTGGTTATGAGTATTGTAAGGGATTATATGTCATAACTTTAGTCTCAGTTTACTTTAAAATACGTATAGAAAAGACTTCGTGTGCATCGTTTACAGTAAATAAAGAACTTTTAAATAAATGAAATGCAATTTTTAGCCCAGCGCCCCTTTGTCGATAAATTTGATCAATACAGATTTTGTTTTTATGTCATAAACTTCCAGTATTTCATAATATTTTCATTTCGGAAATAACGATTAAACACACAAATTTTCTGTTTTCTTCAACATCGTTCAAAGTATATGTATGCACTCTAATATGTTATGGAATTCACTGCAAAATGATTTCTGTTACATACTACACAAAAGATACAACGAGAGACGGTTTTCTTCAAATTAAAAACATACTGATTATCCTCCATCGAAGTCAAAAACCTTGGCAGTGGTTCTGTTTACATACATCATGTTTTTGATCTTTGATCTTCTCATTCATTTTAAGATTGTCTTATTTCGAGGGGACTTAGAGCTAGACATATTATACACACTTCACTGATGACCTATATGTATAAGTGTATCTCCTCTGTTGTATTTGATCTTATCATTTTAATTGCTGCTGGGTTGCTGTCTGATTGATTTTTATCCCATCACGTCTCCTTTTATTCATTCTCATAGGTAGTATTTGATGTCATGTCAGTTTGTTTCGACTACAGACTCAGTAGTTCATGCCATGATGAATTGGTATATAGTTTGTAAACAGATTATTTGTTGTAAATGATTATGAATGATTGATAGTGTATATGATTCTTAACCAGTAAAAATCTGTAAAAGGCATCAATGAATATGATGCATTTTTATCAATGAAGTGGATTGGATTGTGCAATATGAAGTTTGAAAGCCGTTTGCATTGGGTGTCATTGTGGAATATTTTGAAATGTAACTCATTCAGTTCGTAATGTTCTTCCTTCATAGATTTGTCCTCTGGTCAATCACACAAAGATTAGTTTAAATTCGGGTTAAAAGTTCGATATTATTCAGCTGGCCATCTTCTACTAGGACTAGTGTCAAATTCCAAGACTAAAATTAAAGAATTGAACTTCCTCGGCCTGCCCCACACTAGACATACACAACATTCTTGCTTGTATTCAGATCTGGGACAAATTTATTGTGACCTATTTTAGCATGTGTTCAGTCCCAGATCAGATATTCTAAACAGCAGTATCAATTATCTAATACATTTCAAATACCCACGACTAAATTCATCTAAAAGTCAATGAATTTTCATATACAAGTACTTTATAAATGAAGAGAAAACAACTTGTTGAGTGTCATCTTCTCAAGTCTTTCAAGTCCTTAGTGATTATAAGGAGAACCACCTTTTATGTGTCATGTTGGTTTCCTCTATTAAATATACCAATAATTCTAATATACCTTTGAACGTTAAATCTTTTTTAATCGTGAATCATACTTCAATGTTGGACTGATATGGCTAGTGGGAATATCTTACTTAAAAAAAGACTTCCTCAATACGTAACTAAGCCGGCAAATCGACTATTAATACAAAGTCTCGAGTACAAAGTAAAAAAAAAAGGTATTCCAATATATTATAAATACTCAATTTGGGTACAATTGTATTAAAATATGTAAGCTTATTATGTATTAAATACTTAAGCCATCAATAGTATAATGTTATCCCTTATTGCGCCCCCATATGATAGGAAATCCGTAGTATTTCCTCCTTAGCCCATCACATACTAATGTAGCATTAACTTACTTCATCTGTTTAACGATAGTACTTTTTCCAGATTCGCCGGCCCCTGTAGAGAGATAAAATGTTAATTATAAGCAACTCTATTTTTATATCAATATGTGTATATATAATGTACAAACACTAAGCTTTATCATCAATCTGTTAGGCCATACTACATCAATAATACCGCTTCTTCATAATTAATATTATAGTTTCCACACAATTCAAAATGGCGACCACTATATGCATAAATCAAATTCCAAAATGTCAGCAAATATACATCCATATCTGTTCATTTTCGATTATCATGCATAATTAACATTAAAATACGATAATACACTTACCTAGAAGCAGTAATTTGATGTCTTTCGCCGCTTGTATACCATCCTCTTTCAAATTTTTCTCTATGGCCTTACTCCTCTCAAGGGCCGCCCTATCCTCTGCACTCATAGTACACCCCATTTTTATGCACGTCTTTAATCTAAAAATCCTTTAATTAACGATGTATTCCACCCCTGAGCCTGATATGTACGCTCAAGCTCTAAAGAGATGGAATTGTTTAAGACCAAACAATGTGGTGTATTAATATATTTTAAGTACAATCCAAATAATTCGTTATTATCATATATTCATTGAATATAAAGTAAAAGCTATTGACTCACAGAATCACCTCTCGTATATACATCCAACTATCTTACTCATCACACCGTTTTAGCGATGCCGGTAAAAACACGGACATGTATGAAAACTTCATATATTTTTAGCTAAAGCATATCTCCGGCTAAATATTTCATCAACAAAATGGCTACCATATACCGGTTTCATAGATGCAAACAAGCCACACGACAAAGCCTGTTTAAATATGCGGCAACTTGCTACCATCCAATGTAAAAATCGATCGCTTCGTTGTGCAGATATCTTTTCTGTTATGGGGGTTACTAAGTGACGTCAGTCCGCGCACGGGCTTTTAATACATTAATCCGCAGCCTCCGTTGCTAAAAATGCATAAAAATCAATGTCAACTTTTTGTCTTTAAACTGTTAATCGAATATTAAACACGCGTTTCTTCAGTATACCTTGGAAATCTTGTAGCATACAAAATGAATTGTCTGTAGATAGCTATCAGCAGACGAAACACAGGTAGCTGATGATGCTGATTGGGCGGTGCCACTGCCTGTGAAATCAATTTTCTAAGGCGATGTCTATTTATGCGTACATTTTCACGTGTAAATATATGAAAAACTTAATGAGAGAAAATTTTTATGTCTCTACAGCTGTTGGAAATAATTTAATTGTGTGTTTGGTCATTAAAACTGGTTGACAGATGCCGCAGATCGATAAGTTTAATAAATGTAGAGCTAACGCCACCTGGTGTTAAATTCAATCTACTAATTGATGAATGAACACAATACATGAATGGATAATTAATAAAAAGGTGTGACTATAGCATTTGATCTGATTGAAAATTAGTTCATTATGAGATAATTATTTTGTTTTAAATCATATTGTTTTAACACTCAATTTTGTAACTTTCATAACTGCGAAAGTCGCACAGTACCACAGAATGGTAAGAAACGCTAGGCCGTCCGTAAGCCTTATTAGGCCTTATTTGGAATAAAATATTGTACTCTACCAGTATAAGTGACGTCCAATCCTTCTTATTATCTATTAAAAACCAAGTTTTACTTAAATTACAAGGACACACAGGTGTACGTATCCGGCAATAGATATATTTCTTTATATATATAGAGCTAAAAATAGATTCCTAAAAACAGGAAAAAATCTTTGACGCAATTTATAGAGAAAACTTAGTTTGGAAATTTGCAATTTTGTACTTTGATAAGACGCATCAAATTTAGTATCTCGAATTGAGTGAGATTCCCGGGAGCATTTGATCAAATTTACAAGCTATAAATATATAAATATCGAAATTATTAACGTAAATAAATATACTGATATAAACCTACTTATACTTTTTAGTAAATGTTTGGATTCATATGGTAACAGAATTATAAATTGAATTAATTAGATGCTTCACATATTAGACAGACAACTGCAGAGGATAAAAAGAAGAGTAATTCATTTTAATATTATGTCAAAATGTTAAGCAAATATTTGTACTGAACTAGAAAAAAAGATGAAAACAGTTTTTTATATTACAATTTTAAGAACAATTTGAGGGTACATTGTATAACATCATTATATGAATACCAAATTTAAATGTAGAAAAATAATCAGAACTAAGAATAAGCGATAAAAAAAGCATTTCAGGTAGGATTAAAAAAAAAAACAATTTCACAACACTTACTTAGAATTTTTACGTATTTGCTATACAAAAGGACACTGTTATATATATACGGATAATGTTCTATCTAAATTTTCTATTATAACATTTAGAAATAATAACTCTGATTGCTTGTCCGGGTTTGGGTCCTTTTTGCTTTGTGAACTCTTTATCGTTTGTATTGACAAAACTAATTTGATGCTTATAGATGTTTTAAATGTCTCTTTATATCCTTAATAAATTACAGACGGTGCATTACATTTGCGCGCAAAAATCATTACGCGCCCATTACAGACTACTATGCCACAGTTGTTACTCATTAGAAACCAAGTTTTATTCTTAATGTAAATTTAATGAAGAGCTAAGAAATGTTATTTTTGAGTACATGTAATATGCAATTAGAACCGTCGTTATATTTCTTTATAATATAATTGATAAATAAAAAAGAAATAAAACAAGAGTGCACACGTTGAAATGTCTCGCCTTCATTACTAATCATTGATATTATGTTGATAGTCATAAATATAAAGCTTTATTACAACTGTCACATAAACTTAACATTAACCAAGAAAACTAAACATTGACCAATGAACCATGAAAATGAGATCAAGGTCAGATGAACCATGCCAGGCAGGCATGTACAGCTAACAATTCTTCCATACAACAAATATAGTTGACCTATTGCTTATAGTTTAAGAAAAACAGACCACAACACTAAAACTTAACACTGAGCAATGAACTGTGTAAATGAGGTCAAGGTCAAATAAAACCTGCGCGACTGACATATAGATCATAAAATATTTCCATACACCAAATATAGTTGACCTATTGCATATAGTATTAGATAAAAAGACCAAACCTCAAAATCTTAACTTTGACCACTGAACCATGAAAATGAGGTCAAGGTCAAATGAAACCTGCCAGCCAGACATGTACTCCTTACAATCATTCCATACACCAAATATAGTAGACCTATTGCATACAGTATAAGAAAAACAGACCAAAACACAAAAACTTAACTTTAACCACTGAACCATGAGAATGAGGTCAAGGTCAGATGACACCTGCCAGTTGGACATTTACACCTTATAGTCCTTCCATACACCGAATTTACTTGACCTATTGCTTATAGTATCTGAGAAATGGACTTGACCACCAAAACTTAACCTTGTTCACTGATCCATGAAGTGAGGTCGAGGTCAAGTGAAAACTGTCAGACGGGCATGAGGACCTTGCAAGGTACGCACATACCAAATATAGTTATCCTACTACTTATAATAAGAGAGAATTTAACATTACAAAAAAATCTTAACTTTTTTTCAAGTAGTCACTGAACCATGAAAATGAGGTCAAGGACATTGGACATGTGACTGACGGAATTTTCGTAAAATGAGGCATCCATATACAAAGTATGAAGCATCCAGGTCTTCCACCTTCTAAAATATAAAGCTTTTAAGAAGTTAGCTGACGCCGCCGCCGCCGCCGTAGCCGCCGTCCCTATGTCGAGCTTTCTGCGACAAAAATCGCAGGCTCGACAACAAAATGAACTGTTGATAATGAGATATTTTCTCCATTTTACACAATTTTGATAGAATAATTCAAATATTGAAATTCAAATGGCAATATTTAACAGGTAAACTACACAAAGAATTCAAACTGTCCTAAGTTTTAACCACTTGTTGACGCCGACACTATCTCAAATAATACCGACCTAAATAAAACTGTATTTTCAAACAGTCAACACCATTTCAAATGAAAAGACTAGGGTTCTATATAACAAGGGTCAATAAAACTGAGGACAAGGGACTTGACAAAACTTATCAAATGCGTCCGAGGTTCAAGTTCGGAAACCGTGCGCATTTACAGTGGCTGGTCCAGGATTTAAAAAAAAAAGGGGAAGACCACTTTTTCAATTGGTAAAAGTGAAATACTAGAAAAACTGATGAAAATGTCAATTCTTTAACCATGTTTGTTTTGTAACAAACAAAAGTGGTCACGCTGAAATGTCTCGATTGCTTTACTGACTATGGTTGATTTAACGTTGAAAGTCTTGAAGATAAAGATTTACTACCAGTATCACATCAACTAAATTTATCATTGATCCATGACAATGAGGTCAAGGTCAGATAAACCCTGCCAGACAGACATGTGCACCTTACAATCATACCGTATACTATATGATATTGACCTTTTGGTGATAGTATCAAAGAAACAGACTTATCCAGGAAAACTAAATATTGACCAATGAACCATAAAAATGAGGTCAAGGTCAGATGAACCTTGTCAGACAGATATGTAAACCTTACAATCAGTCCATACACCTAATATAGTTGACCTATTACTTATAGTATCTGAGAAGAAGATTAACCTACAGAAACTTAACATTGACCAATGAACCATGAAAATGAGGTCAAGGACAGATGATACCTCCCAGACAGAAATTTTCACCTTGCAATCATTCTAAGCACCAAATATAGTTGAACTATTGCTTACTGTATTTGAAAAACAGACCAGAACACAAAAACTTAACATTGACCAATGAAACATAAAAATGAGGTCGAGGTCAGATGAAACCTGCAAGACTGACATGTATATCACATATAATAGACCTACTGCAGCGCTTATACATGAAAGGAGGTTGAGGTCCGCTGAACCCTGTCTGACGGACATGTAGACGTTGCAAGGAGCCCATATACCAAATATATTAATTTATCCTACTACTCATGATACTAAGTAAGTCAAAAATTTACATGACAAAAAAACTATACATATTTTAAGCAGTCGCTGAACCATAAAAATGAGGTCAAGGACACTTGGCATATGACAGACGAAAACTTCGTAACATAAGTCATCTGTACAGTGGCTATAATATCTATGAATAGACCTACTTACCTAAAAAAACAGGTGAAATATTTGTAACTTTTCGTCAAAGGTAATTTGATTGATTGATGTTTGTTTACCGTGTAAAGAAAAAATTAAATATCAAATGCGTATTCAGCACGATAACATCTTAAGAACCTAAAACCAGATTTTATCGCGCTAGATATTTAAAGGTGTCAGTTTGCAGAAAGACAAATTATCCTAAACGGACACACAGTTATTCGGACTTTTGTGTCCCGTGCTAAACGGAGAATCATAAATTTAAAGTATTAATTCTAATTCTTCTACCACTGAGTTACCAAGGCAACGTCATTAGATAATAGATTGACTTTTATATCATTTTGGGGTCGGTGCGCGTGTACGGTCAAGTATTTTTGGATAAAGGTGCACGTGTACATATTTACACGTTTATTTGGTAGTCAAATGACAATAGCTTCTTGAAGGATCCGAGACTACTCGCTATGGTCTGAGACTACTATAACGCTATAGTAGTCTCAGCTGTGGTGAATGAATAGGAAAGGTTGCTCATTGTATGCAGTACGATTCTGCTCCTGGCCAGGGATCGATCTCATGACCTACCGCACTCGAGGTGATCACGGTCGAATCTTTGATTGGTGGCTGCGTAATATTTTCGCGGATATTTAATACACATTGATTCTTATGATCTAAAGATAGATACGAACCTACCACTTATCCCTAATGCTCTGTTCATTTTCCCTCATCAAATTAGCGCAGACAATTTTCTAACTTGTTTTGAAGTATTGTGGACATGAAAACAACTCACTAAAATTTACCCTTACCTGTTGAAAAGATCTCGTCTTACTGCTAATATAGAATTTAAAAAAATCAACAAACAAAGAATTGATAAAGATTATGCCGATCTTTGATTGATAAATTGTTGTTTGTTTAACGTCAAGTGGCAAATAGTTCATGTATATTTAGGACTAGAACACACTGAATGGTCGACCGGGATGAAGGGCGAGAATTTTGTCTACCATTGTAAAATGTGTGCGTATGTTGGAAAGGGGATATAAATGTTGCCTTACAACAGGCTACCCATTGACCCTTGAGAGATATTGGAAGGGTCCTTTAATGTGTAGGGAGCGTAGCATCTGATTTAGCGTCCTCATTCCGACTAGACGTGGCTGCGTATTTATACATCCCGCACACCTAAAACGGACTACCCATTTTA